GTAGGTAGCTCCTGTCTTCTTTTTCTATTTCTCCATTCACCAGTTATCTGCCTTCCTAGTTCTACCATTCTATCCACAACCCATCTCCATCAGCCAGGAAGGGAAGACAGTGCAGCCTCATGGGAAATGCTCTGGGTATCTTGTCAGGCACCCTAGATCATAATGTGCACCCTGCTGTCCCTTAGCTATGGGATTTTGAATGACCTGCCTCAACAATTTGGTCTCCTCCTCCATATCTGTAAAATTACTTCTCCCTTCCAGTTCTGACATCTTGAACTTTTTTTTTTTTTTTTTTTGACTCTGGGCAAATTTGAAGTTTCTTCATGTTAGGAAAAGATTCTTTGTCTAAAGGTATTTCATGCATATGTTCTATCATGCTTTGAAAGCAGAGATTGTACCCTGTATTCCACCAAACTAGATGGGGCAGAAAGAATGGACATTTGCTGCCTTCCATGAATTCTCTGCATCTCACAGTTGAAGGTGGAATTGATTTTTAAATTGCCCACCAGCAATTCTGTGTACCGCTAGAAGGCTCACATGCTGTTACAGACCCAAGAATTCTCTTACATTCTTCTGCTGGGACAGTCTAATGTGAGAAGGGAAAATGGAGCTTCATCTTCCCGGTGAGACCAATAAAATTCCTCTGGCAAATCCACGAAAATCTACAATTCCATGGAGCCTGGGGAAATCACACTGGATCAGACTTCATCAGCTTTCCTCACTGAGAGGTGATGTCTGACTTGAAAATCCTTGAGCTGGCAACTCAGCCCAAATTTACTGTCCTTGAAGTTGACCAGCTGCAAAAGCAGGAGTTTGGGGAAAGAGTTCATGTGGGGAAATGGGGTGACTAACACAACAACCACACATTTACCAATAAACTTGGGGTGGGGAGGATGGAAGAAAACCCACTTCTGGAATTCCTATCCTTGCCTGTTCTTTTCCCCTGCTCTTTGCAGTATGGAAACCATTTAGCTGCAGAGCGATGATTTCCCAGGCATGTAGTCGGGACTACCCAGAGTAAATCACTTCCTTTTCTACTCCTGGGAAAAATCTCTCTTTGCTTGGGTCATAATTCAAACAGTCTGCTTCCACTGAGCTGAGACTCAGAGATTGAGTAAGAAGTGCACCATCACTAATGGACCTGGTCTCCAAGAATTAGGAGCAGTGAAAAGACAAGATGAAGAGGAGGTATCCTGGGCTAGCATAGTCACTGCTTCTGACCAACCTGTCTCCCAAAATTCAAGCTAATGTTTTTATCCTCTAAACCTAAGTAATTATTTTTAAATAGAAGTATAAAACTATTTTTAAAATACTATTTTATTAATAAGACTTCTATTTACATAGAATTTCTGGAAATCCATGTACCTCTTAAAGAACCATTTCCCCACTAAAAAGAGATTATACACAAAAGTCAACTCAAAGTAGATAAAAACCCTAGGAATTAGACCACACACTCTGCAACTACTAGAAGAAAATATAAGCCAACACTCCAACATGCTGGCACAGACACTGACTTCCTTAACAAGACTCCTAAAGCACAAGAAATAAAGTCAAGAATCAAAAAGTAGAATAGCATCAAATTAAAAGGTTTCTGCACAGCAAAGGAAACAATTAAGAGTATGAAGAGAAAGTCTACAGAATGAGAGATCTTTGCCACCTGCTCCTCAGAGAGGGGATTGATATCCAAATATATAAAGAACTCAAAAAACTTAACACCATGATTCATACCCCATAGACAAAGAAACCAATCCAAATAACCCAATTAATAAATGGGCAAAAGAACTAAATGTCATTTATCAAAAGAAGAAACACAAATGGCCAAATACATGAAAAAATATTCAGCATCTCTAGCAATCAGGGAAATGTAAATCAAAATTACACTGAAATTTCCTCACACTCCAGTCAGAATGGCAATTATCAAGAACACAAATAAGGGGTGGGGTTGTAGCTCAGTGGTAGAGTGCTAGCCTTGAAAGCGTGAGGCACTGGGTTTCATCCTCAGCACCACATAAAAATAAATAAATAAATAAATAAATAAAAAATAAAAATATTGTGTCCATCTACAGCTAAAAGAAAGATAATTTTCATATATTATAAACTATTTTGAGTTTTTTTATTTTGAGTTTTTTTTCAGCCATTTAAAAATTGAAAAACCATTCTTTACTCTTAGGTTGTACATGGTAGGCTGAATTTGACCTATTGACCATAGTTTGCCAAACTCTGGTTTACAGGGTTTCCAGGGCAAAAACATGAAGAAGTTAATATTTTGTTTTTATTAGTATCCCATTTCCCTAATGGCACTGATGTTTAAAATAAAACAACTGGGTAAGAAAAGTTAAAGTAAAATAAAAAGTATCATCATCATCATCATCATCATCATCATCATCATCATCATCATCTGTGCTAGAGGTGGAACCAGGGGTACTTTACCACTGGGGATGAGTACATCCCCAATCCTTTTTTATTTTATTTTTTTATTTGCAGACAGGTTCTTGCTTAATTGCTGAGGGTCTTGCTAAATTGCTGAGACTGGCCTCAAACTTGTGATTCTACTGCATCAGCCTCCCTAGTCTCCAGGATTATAGGAATGCACCACTGCACCTGTAGAAAATTTATTAATAAAGGAATTTCAAGAAGAGTGAGGGAAAGGGCATTTTGAAGAAGGTCCCTCAATTGATACATTGTAATTAACTACCAACTTCACCTTCAGGCAGAATGAGTTTCACCTCTATCAAATCTAGCAGACTTCTGTTGATTTCTATTATATTTCAGGGATACACTAATTGTAAAAGTGATGAAAAAACAACCTCTGCCCTCTGAGAGGGCAACTGCTGTTAAATAATGAAGGATCCTGTGGTAACCAGCTTTCTGAGATAATTATAAACAGACAGGTTTCATTTGACTTACATTTTTGGAGGTTCCAGTCCATGACCTGTTGGTGCTGTTGATTTTGGGCCTGTGGCAAGGCATCACACCATGGTGGGAGCACGTGAGAGAGCAAACCTCATTGCCAGGAAGCAAAAGAGAGAAAGAGGAATTGAGGAAGTGCTTCCTTCTCACTGATCACAGTTTCTGGGTATCATGGGATCTTGGACAGGGGCCTGCCCTGAAATGCACAACTCACTGAAACTCAGGGAGGCTCAAGGCTGGCCCTGCTTGTTCAGGAATCCTCAGCTAAGTGCTTCTTAGACACAATCATCTGATGCCCCATTGATGGCTGACTCAAAAAAACCCAAAATTATTTCAGAGAATTACCTTTAAGCAAACCTCTCTCCAGAGAAGCCCCTCTACTTCAAATATTTGAAACAATGAAGGCTGAAACTTATGAAGATAAAGTTTCCCCACAAAGTCCATCAGGCTAAGATGTGATGGTTATGTGCTTATTTCCTCTATAAGGGGCTAGGAGTGAAGAGAGAACATTGACAACCCTATTTTTATTTTTATTTTTTATTTTTTTGTACCAGGGATTGAACCCAAGGGTGCTTAAGCACTGAGCCATATCTCAGCCCTTTTTTGTATTTTATTTAGAGATACAGTTTCACAGAGTTGCTTAGGGCCTCACTAAGGTCACTGAACCTGGCTTTGAACTTGCAATCTTCCTGCCTCACTCCCCTGAGCTGTTGGGATTACAGGTGTGAGCCATGCTCCAGGAAACAACCCTAACATTTGTAAATTTCACCATATAGGCCCTGTTCATGATTTATCTTTTATTCTTTAATATAACCATAAGAGGCAGGTGCAGTCTTTCTTTTCCCTGGTACTGGGGATGAAGCCCAGGGGTGCTCTATCTCTGAGCCACATCCCCAGCCCTTTTTAAAAATGTTGAGATAGGGTCATTGAACAGGCTGACCTTGAACTTGTGATTCTTCTGCTTCAGTCTCCAGAATAGCTGGGATTACAGGCGTGCACCACCAGCCCTACTGAGGCATGCTTTTATAGAGGAGAAAACCAAAAGTCAGAGCCAAGTAACTTGCCTTACATTCCCCAGTGGTTAACTGGGAAGCATTAGGGATTGAAGCCTACTATTACAGATTCAAAAAACAGACACATAATGTATAAATGTGGTCGGTGTTTCCTGTAGGTGATTAGTGGTGGCAGTGATGACAATGACTCTGTGTATAGATATGTGGCCATATGTTGAGGGGAAATGAGGTGGGTCCTCGGGAGAGTTAGGGCCTGGGTGAGAAGCTTGTGGAAGAGCCCAGCACTTCTTGATGGTGAACTGTGACACTGATGAGATATGCAGTCAGTTCAAGACAGCATTTTCATGAAAGGCATTCATAATTCCAGATACACTATCACTAAACTAGAAAATATTTATAAGACAGCAAATTTCTATTTTTCAATGATGGCTTTGTTAATACATCATTTTGAAATATAAAATATAAATATTAATTTGCATTAACTATTAAATTCTATCATACTTTTTTCTCATTCTTTTGGGTGCCCTGATTGTGCCAGCTCACTCAGTACCCAGTCCTATAGGATAACCCAGCTCTGAGGTGCGCAAACTGACCTCCCACTTCTCTTTAATGTCAAATCTGAGGTGGCAACTGGCTCCTTCTGCTATCTGGAGGTTGCAGTGACCCCTCCATCTAGAAGACCAGGGATGTGCACCATTGTTAGGGTGGCAGATAGGGTACAAACTTATGTAGTCACTGCTCTAAGGATTTCTGGAGTGTCCATTATCCCCATTCCTGGGCTCCCAGTCAAGAATGTAATTGAAGCCCTATGACAATAGAGTGTGAAAGGAAAGATGTCCCCTGGTGTCAAATACCTTGGCCAGCCAAACCTAAAAGCACAGAGCAGATGCTTGGCTTTATTCCTGGTGCTGGCTGGGTCCCTATGTCCTGCCCCATACCAGAACTACTCTCTAGGCAAAAGTCATAGCCAACTAAGGACTTCAAGCTCCTGCCTCCTCCAGAATGCCACAATCTGATCCAGTGAGAACAGCTTGCCTCCTCCTGCTAACCCTCCTGTTTAAAGGCTAAAGATATGGAGGTAGGAGCTGTAAGTCCAAGATAGGGGACCATGAAGCAGCATCTTATATGCTGAGGATTTCACCAGAGGAGGACCAGGATGTTGCTATCTGATGTCAGCTTTCAAGTGCTTTAGAGTCAGAGAGTAGAATCAACAAGCAGGTGAGCTGGGTTTTCATAGTGTCATTGAGAAGTCCCCAGGAAACCTAACCTGGAAAGCAAACCCCTATCACCTGGAGGAGACACTGGACCTGGGCACTCTGTTCTGGATGCCACAAGGGGAGGTAACTCCCTGGACAGATGCTGATGGTTGCTCATTCAGGGTCTATTCAGGCTCCTCCTCTCTTTCCTGGAGGGGGGCTCTTAATGCTGTTTACCTGTGCTGGATTTTAGAAGCCTTGCTTCCTTGTGATTTCAGGGGAAAGATCTATGAAGCTATCTGGCCACTGCCCTGACCCATCATGATTTTCCTGAGGAAATGAATGTCAATGGTGGTCCTGAAGATGAGAGCAAAATATCGCAGCCTCACAGTGAGTAGGGAAGAGGCAAAGGGCAGCCTTTCCTTTGAAGCCCGGGGAGGGACTATACAGGATGATTGTAGGGATGTAAGATTCAGGTGTGTTTCAATAACAACACACCAATGGGAGTTGTTCCTTGTTGAGTTTGCTGTGTCGGGGATTATACTAAAAACTTCATATGCAATAACATATTTAACCGTGTCCCAAATTTTATGATGCAGATACTATTATCTTTCCATTTGCCAGATGGGGAATCAATCACAGAGAAATTAAGTAGCTTACTTAAAGTCACAAAACCAGTATACAGTAGAGGTGGCTTTCAAATTCTGGTCTTTTTCAAAGCCTGGATTTTACCCAGTACCTAGGCTGCCTCCTCAGCCTAGGTACTGGCTTCCTTTATGACTGCTTCCTCCCACTATCAATGTTTATTACCTAGCACTTGAGGGTTCTCCCCAAACTGAGTACCTGGGCAGTGCTTCTGAGTCCACATAGCACATACCCATTATTTACTCATATCAGTTATGGGTCTAGACAAGGTTACAGGCAAGAAGAATAGGTAGCTGTGGTGAACACGTGGCTTAAAGTTCCATTTTTCATATTTGTATTTCACAGAGATGAAGAGAGAAACAGAGAATAACCTGTGGAGCTAGATTTCTCTACCCCAACCAGTTTGAGAACAGTGTTTTGTTTCTTTCTTAAGAACCCAAAGTTGGGGGGGCCGGGGCGCGGCTCAAGAAAAGGCTGTCTAGTCCAGGTTGAAGCAGAAATCACACACAGTTGAGAAGCAGCTTAATTCTATATTTTACATTATGTCTGCAACTTAAAAGAAAGTTTTTTTTTCAAAGTGCATGTTTATTTCCCACAAATCATAAAATATTCGCATTACAAAGAATCTCTAATCAGCCCTAGTTATGAAAAATTAGAAACGACCCAAACGATCAAATATGAGAGAACAAATTATGGCACATTAGCTAGATGAATATCATATAATGATATCATGAAGACTAGCTTAGCAATATAGGAAAGTACTTATGCAAATATTTTTGAATACAAAAATTTGAATAAAAAGACATACACACACTAGCAAACTACATGGAAAACAGAAAATCCTTCTTTTTAAAAGTGTTAAGATTACAGGTAATCTTTTTTGCTTTGTAGATTTTCTCTATTGTATGATTTATAGCAAATAAAAAACTCAAAATGTATACATATGGTATAGTATATGGTAGCTTTTACTTTAGGCTCACATTTTGCTTATTTACCTTGCAACTCTGTAACCAAATAGCTTTTCATTTGAACTTGCAAAGTATTGCATGAAATTTACATATTCCTTTAAATAAACAACACACATCTATTCCTGTTATACAAATTGGGATTAATTCTTTAGGTTGGCATCTTTTCCAATCAAATTTAATTATCCATGTTTATCAGTAAAATTTTCTTTTCTTTTCTTTTTTGGATAGGAATAATCAAAATTAGAAAAGCAAATGGTGAGCTCCCACCCCAGCCCAGCAGTTCCTGCTAAGGCAGCAGTGAAACCCAGCACACTGCCCTACTTTTCATCTCTCTTGAAAGACTGGGAAATGGGTTATCTGGAGACACCCAGCACTCCTAACCTGTTAGGGAGGCTCTGAACTTGGCTGAGGCTTCTAAAGTCAGGCAACCCAAGAGGATCAGATCTTCATTATTCCAAGAAATAGAGCCAGGACATATCCCATGGAAGAGGATGTTAGTGAACATTCTGTTTTTGGTTTTTCCAGAGACCCAAGGCTAACTAGTGGTGTAGAAAGCTGATTTTATGGTCTCGGACAGTTTATGCAACTGTTTGTTTATATTCTATTCTTTCCCCTAAAGATTAAAAGTTGCCTTAGGACAAAAGAAAAGGTTTGATAGGTAAGACCAAATAATGGGAAATAGGCAAGAGGGAGTGTTAAAATGAGACTATGGGAGAAGAAAGCTACAACAATGAACAAAAACCTAGTGGACAAAGTAACTAGTAAAAACCAAAGCCTTTCTAAGCCAGTAGAGCTCATTTCTAAGATTTTAGAGGCCAGGGTGAGTCATGATTTGCCTGGGACTGGAGTGCCTTTGAGGAAATCATACAGCATGCCCCAGGGGTCTTGTTTTAGGGGTATAAAAACCTTCCCAGAAGGGAGTATGTCCGTTTCCCTTGTACTCCTGTATCATCTACTTTCAATTTGCCATGTCATCATTTTTTTAAGTGTGTGTGCATATATTTAGTTGCTTCCTCTGGATTTCACAGACTCCTTGATGCCAAGAAGTCTATTTTATACCTTTTCTGTATCATCCTGCAACTCCCAATGTACAGTTCCTCAAATAATGTCTTTTAAAAATAGAAATGGAATTTAATTCTTAGTCTTTTAGACCAAATTATAAAGCTTACTTTCCATATATTCCCTAATTAATAAATGACAACATGGAAGCTCTTTTGCATCTGATAGTGAGTAGAATAAGAGGTTAGAGTAATAAAAAATTTCAGGAAATGGTAGGGGAATGAAGATGTTCCAGATAGTTTTTAAGAAGGGGGTTAGCAACTCAAGAGAGGTAAGCAACTTTGCCAAGATTTGACACCAGAAAAAATTCATTGGGACTCATTTTTTTTTTACTTTATTATATTCTTATTACTAGACAAATTACTCTGCCTTTGTTTCTTCTTAATTTGGGGGGCAGGGGAGGCACTGAGGTTTAAACCTAAGGGTGCTTAACCACTGAACCACATCTCCAGCTCTTTTAAATATTTTAGAGACAGGGTCTCACTGAGTTGCTTAGGGCCTCACTAAGTTGCTGAGGCTGGCTTTGAATTCACAATCCTCCTGCCTCAACCTCCTGAGCCACTGGGATTGCAGGTGTGTGCCATCGTACCTGGCCCTAATTTGTTGAGAAGGGGCTGGACAGTCCTGAGTTGTTCTGGAAAGGAGTGTTGGTGGACTACAGCAGGAAAACAAAACATGGCAGTGAGCCTTCAAGCAGAACAAGCTAGCAGTTCTCATTTTCGAACTGCCTGGTCTCCTAAGAGGCAGATATGCCAGCACCTCCCTAACCCCGCCCCCTGCCCTGCCTCTCCCCCACCAATCCCATTGCATTGTTCCAATTTTTGTGTGGATCACTGAGCTTTTAGCAATACTCAGTCCTTTTGGGGGATAGATAGTGAAGACGTTCACATTATGCTCTTGACCAAAGCATGATCTTTTAAGTAGTTCCTCGACAATTGTTTTATGCAAACCATGGTTTTCACGGAGGAACTGAACTTGAGACGGGTATGGAGTGTGGGTTCTGGTGCAGGATCTAGTAAACCCACTGAAACTCAGCTCACTGGAACACTGAAGGGCATTATCATCCCCAGGCACCTGGGAGTGGATTTTCAATTTTTGAGTGTAAAAGAGAGTTCCACTGGAAAGGCAGTATTCCAAATCCTTAGAGTTGGAAATAGATTGAGACTCACCATCATGCAGTATGCTGGTGTCTCTGTACCCTTCCCCATGCAGCATCCACTAAGAGGAGGTGGCTTTTCATTCCTCTGGCCCACCCATGCCCAGCAGGCCCCTGGGAAAATGGAGGGAGAGCTGCTCCTCTGTCACACATACAAAAGACACCTTACCTTTTGTGCCATCAGCTTTCCTCTGAACAGGGGCATGGATTCCACAGTGGTCCCCTGATGACTCCTCCAGAAAGAATTAAGGCTGCACTGCCTTCCTTTACATCAAAGCCAGACCTTGGCGCAGTATCCTGTGTTCTGACTACTTGCAATCAGCAGCAAATCCAAATATAGTTTGAGAATGTTGTCACAGAAACCTATTCTCAAGGGTAGGCGTTTTGATTAAAAGTGAAATATGAACCTATGATGTTCACCTCCTGTGCACAAATGAACAACTTTGAAGCTATTACTGGCGCTTGTTTCTGGGTCATTTTTCCAATCAACAAACATTATATCTTTCATGTATGGGGCATCCTGGCCATACAATGAATAGCCTCCAGGTCAATGGTACTGGGGATTTTCATTTCAAAAGAAAAAAGTAGTTTCAGCTTGGCTAAGGGCACAATGCAGAAGGGAAGAAAGCCCAGGGCTGAGGAACACATTGCCACATCTAGTTCTCAGCTAGCCCTGCTGCTGAGCTGAACTCAACCAGCTGAATGTCTTGGAGCAAGCCACTTAATCTCTCCAGGCCTCCTTTTCCTCTGGCCTTTGTGGTCAGAAGGGGCAATGTTTTGCTGAATCAGCATTTCATTCAGGGCATCAGCATTGGCAGGCTCTGATAAGGCCCTGACTCAACTCTTTGTTCTCCATGGCCTTGGAAACAGATGGAAATAAAATTCTCACAGGCAGCCAGAACCAGCCTTATCCTCTGGGTTGATGCCCATTTGTCATAAATTTGGCAAAGTTACATTCTTATTAGTGAACTCTCAACATAGCTTCATTCATTGTGTGACACACAAAATTTATGACATCTGTTGGAGGAATGTAGCTCTGAAAACCCTCAATGTCAAAAAGTATATATAGTGGAGGGAACATTTCTCATACTGCCTGACATTTCTGATTTCTTTCTAAACACCTGCTAATTTGGGAAATGATGACAAAAACTAATGGTTTTTGTTTTGAAGTGAGGATTCAGAATATTCTTTTCCTGTATACACATCTGATTGTAGACTTTTTAAAATTACATCTATAAATATTGTTGACAAGTTGAGAAAATGGTTAAGATACACTCAAATATTTGTTTAAGAAAAAATGATTTTTTTTTCCTGGAGAAGAAAAAAAAATTCAGGCCCAAAATGTTAAATTATGGAGTATAAATACCAGCATACACAAAAGGTGAATTTTGTTTCTGTTAATGAATCTCTAGGAAAAGTAGGGGAACTGTTCTCTTCACTGCTAATTGCAAAAAAGTTCAGAATGTATTCACCAATGCCTTAATTTCCTCTTACTAATGGATTATAGAAGTCTCATAAGGAATTTATGTTTTTTGAAGATGTTTATATCCTCCCCTATACCCTTTTCTGTGTGGGTTCTATTGTTTTGCGCTGAACAGGGCAACTGCTACAGCCACTCATTCTGGAATTAGGCCTGGTAAGTTTCAGCAATTCAGATTCAGAGTTGAACCTTGAAATCTCTCTATATACTTCACGGGTCTCTATACCTGGTGGCCCTATCAGCAACGTTAGCCTTGGTCCTTCCATGATGGACTCCTAATCTCCTGAACCTGACTGCACAGGGCAGCCTGCTCAGAAGTTATCACACTGAGTCAGTGAAGGCGTGTGCCATATAAAAACAGGGCTGTTTTTAAAGTTTAATTTTGCAGATTAGGTAATCATTCTTGGAATTGGTATGATGCATAATTAATTGATCTCATCTGATACATAAAACCCATAGAGGAAGTTTGATGTTAAACCAGTTGTGGTCACAACAGCTGCTAAACAATAGACTATCTACATCTTCCGAGCCTCCTCTCCTAACTATTCTGCTTCAACTGTCTTCACCTGTATCTAGTCATTGCTTTTCTTCTACTGAATGTTTCCAACAAGTGGTACAAACCAAATAGAACTTTAGAGTCTGAAAGACCAAGTAGCTCACAACCTGTGAGCTATGGAACTGAGAAAGTTGACTTGGCCTCCTGGAGCCCCTGTTAGTAAAATAAGGACTGATGTGAAGTTTAAATGAAATAATTTAAATATATATGAAATGAAATAATTTAAATATTTATATATGCTCTTGCATATATAAATGCTATCTGAGAATATTAACTATCACCTTCATTTAGGGTAAAGGTAGTATAAGTCCCTGAGGTGGTCTTTAGAGCACACATAGCAAGTAGAGGGCAGTAGTAGTATGAACCTGCCTAAGTGCCAAGACCTGTGCTCCACCATTCCTTAGGTTACACATTACAAAAGAAACCTGTGTGCTAAGTGTTAATGTCACCTCCATTTTACACAGAGAGCACTTTAGATTGAGGTCCCTGACAGGTAGACAGCTAGTAACAGTAAATCCTGATCTGAAGTCTGAGCTGGCTCCCAAAGTGAAAGAGTGCCAGGTTTAAGAGAGGTTTCCATGACTATAGTAAAGTAGAAGCTTTTTTTTTTTTGTAGCTAAGGACTGGCAGAGTGAAACTGTGGACCAGAAGATAGCTTTTTGGAAGTGGGACTTAGAAGCCAGACCTCCAGACCTCCAGGCCTTTTTTTTTTCACTTTATAGTCTATGTCTTTCTGCAGAGAGGAGCTACTTGATTAAAGATCACGAAGGACGCTAAAGAGATATTTGTACTTTTGAATGAAAATATTATACTTACATGCAAGTGAGTTTTCATTTATTTCCATTTGACTGTTTGCTTTTGGTGAGAACATTCTTTTTTTCTCCTATAGCACAACTTAAGCCAAGTATTATTGTTTATCACCTGGGTGTATTGGCTTAGTGTCTACAAAAGCTATGGAAACAACCAATGATATTTTCAGTTTCCAAGTCTAAGAAAGGAAGATGCAATGGAATTTGCAACCCATTCAATCTAGAAAGCAGAAAATCATAAAGACTCATGAAAGCAGAACTATTAAGTAGAATCACAGGGGTGTGGGCCAATAGCAGGTTTGGTATATTAACCCACCACTAGTTGATGTGTACATATTAGGGCTAAAGACTTAGCTGATATTTGAGCAAGAAATTCCCAAAGCAGTAAAAGCACTGCAAAAGATCTCTATGTCCATGCAGATACATACCAGTGATATGGAAAAACAACTTCTGGAAAGAGGCCTGCCTACTTGCTATAACTTTTAAGAGACCAAAATCATGCTGCCTTTACTGCTTCTGAGAGTATAACACATGAGACCCCACTTCCCTCTGGCTTATCATTTTAAGAAATCTTGAAGGTCAATCATGAAGTCTAAACTTCACAAAGTAAGAACATACAAATGACAGGACCACCAAATTTAGAAAATGTCCTACAATGTGCATTTTATTTCATATCATTATACAATGTTTACATATAGTTATAACTCTCAAGAAAATGTATTTTCTTTACCAATTGTATGTAGTGCCTAAACCTTTCACTTTAACATGGACAATGGGAAAGAGTGGAAATCCACACTGAATGCTATTCTACAGTAGTTGTAATGGGCTGCAAGTGTGCCAATCAGAAAGGAATGGAAGCCTTAGAAGAGCAGTGTGGCTTTCAAACCCTTGGCTTCAGTGAACACAGGCATACTGGATCATAGTCTTATCTTGCAGTAAAACTCAAGACAAAATAGTGTTGTTCAAAATTCTAAATTGTACAATATTGAACAAAAGACCACAGAGGACATTTTGTTTAAAGTAGCACCAATCCACAACTGATTGTCTCTGACATCAATCTTCCTGTTGCCCCTATCATTGGCACTTTGAGTGGAAATCTTTCTGCTTCAGTGAGGAGTCTTCCACTGACTAAGCAAACTGTGTGGCTAAACTCTACGTAAAGTGTGGCAATGTCAACCTGGGAAATGGCACATTTAAACCATTATTGCCCTAACATGGGCTTGCCTTTTTTGGTGTTTTCTCCCTACCTCCTGCCCTAGCTGGTGTTTTGTGGATGTTTCTGTGATGGTGGTAAAAGTAAATAAAAATGCATTTAAGGGGTATCATGGTAAGCAGGTGTTTAGAAACAAAACAACAAAAAATAAAATAAAAGAATGTGGCCGCAGCTAAGGAGGTTTTCACATGTTGTTTAACTCCAGTAAAGTCTGATCCAGCATCTGATGCATACTAAGGTTTTCTTCTTTGGCATGAGCCACTTTCTCTGTGGTGGGATTAGAAAATTAAGTCATGAATAGCTGCACTTTGGACACAGTGGTGCTTTGTACATTCAGGCAGGCAAACATCAATCACAAACACAGAATGAGATGATTAGAACTAGGCATGCTTTTAAGACATTACTCATTTCTAGACAAGAACCTAAGATGGGGAAGACATCTTTAACCCAAAGGAACCACAGGCACAGCAGAGTCTTAGTGTGGTCAGAGATACCAGCACCAACAATCCACCCTGAGAATAAAATGCAGGGTGGGTTTGGTGAAGGTTCACCGATTGTATGCTGTGGGAACACAGAGAGGCAAAAACCAAATACAGCTTGCAGCATTATTATACAAACTGGAGAAGTTAATATCAGCAGATGCTTCTGAGTTACAGGCAGTTAAAGGTCTGAGAGACGTGTTGTAACACGGCCTCACAGAAAACAAAGATGACATAATAGGTTTTGGACAACTTTTAAAATGATTTATTTCTGTTGCTCATAAAGTTATCAACATGTTTCATGCACACTTCATTAGGACATTCTCTTAATATTTTATAGTATTCTATTTAGTAGTAGCAAGACATTCTCATCAGATTCCAACAACACTATTAAACTGAATAAAGCATACCTTTCAGACAACCAGGGACTTCTGATATAAGCTCCTGTTTTCAAAAGCTATTTTGCCCAAGCATAGGTACATTTAATTATATTTCAAACACTATATCATATATGAATAAGTTAGGAATACAAACATGTAATTATATATATACTTAAAGTAGGACTCACAGTTGTCTCTGTGAAATAGAAAACAAAAATTTTTTGGTCCTCATTATTGAAAGAGGAGGACCTGCTGTTGCAAAAAGAGTGCCGACTTGATTGTTATAAATATTTATCCACATATATAATATATGTATTTTATTTTACCATAAAAAAATTGTTTTGGGATTAAAGAGAACTCAATTATTCCTGATATATAGAGGAAAAGACAGGCCAAGCCAGCGCCTTTCAGCCGATTCCTTTCATTTGCATTTCTGCAGAAGAAAGTACCGTTTTCCACCCTATTAGCTGAGGGTTGGACAGTCTTAGATTTCCTGCACATGGGCTCCATTCCTAGAATTCAGCCCAAGATTTTTTCACACTTTTTAATCCTCATTCAGGGCCAGCTTTAGTTCATTAGTTAGGCGGCGGTTTTGCTCAAGTTGCTGGTAGAGCTGGTCTGTACAGGTCAGCAAGTAGATTAGCAGAAAAGAAGAGGCAGAAGAGAGGTTAGGCAGACTTAGTGAGAGACAGTTAATAGAGAACACAGAGATACCTCAGGCAGGACAGCAACTGGTCACTTGCTGAGCAGTCTACCCTCACCCCATTGTCATCTGTCCAGGTTGGTAAAAGGCCTGGCAGAAGGGTCAGAATTTCTCTCTTGTGGGGAGAAGGGAAAGGGAGGCACAGGAAATGAGGAGAAAAGAGTTATATTCCCCTTGTACCTTACTAAAATCATCTTATGAACTGATCCATGTGCAGCTTCTGGCAACAGATTTGGGAACTGAAACCAGGCTGGAGGCAAGTCCACATGTCATCCACCCCTTGCTAGGGCTCAGCAGAGATCCTAGGCGGAACTGTGACCTACCCATTTCTGCCCACTCTTCCAGGACCCCTTCCTCTCTGCTCACAGTGCAGGCTTTTCCCTCAGGTAATAGCAAGCAGGTGCCACTACTTCTGCTGCATTGAAACTTTTTGAAATGCACAACTGAGCTCCTGTTTTTCGGTCAATCACCAGGATACAGAGTACACATTCTCAACTCTTTGGTAATGTGTTCCTCTATTCAAGTAGCAAAATAACAAGCATTTATCTCTAATCAACATTGATTTAGGAATTATGTTTAAGAGGATGGCATTTATGTTTGGTGCTAATGTACGTGTATAAAATGAACAAAACCTCAAACATCGCCACAGAGACCTGTGTGATACCATTTCTATATACTGAGATGCAATCTGCTCAGGTGGCATAACAATCCGTTACCTGGTGATATAAGGGATACCCAAAGACAACCAAGAGACTGGTATCCACCAGTCTAAAACTGAGAAACATGATTAGAGTGATGGCGATCACCTGGACCTAAAAATTCTACTTAATCATCTTGTAAGCTAATAGTTTTACTCCTTGGGGAAAACGTGCTGACTATAGCCCCCGGGCCTATTGGGAAATTGAGCAGATTTCCTGTTAACTTTCTTTCCTAAACAGCAGGAGATGGGTAAGATGTTATGCTCATTGTTTACTAGCTCACTGTGAGATGCTATGCCCAACATCTGTTGCTTTTTTTCTCTTTGCCAATTCAAATTTTCCGAATATTTACAGTTAATTGTCACCTCCTCCAGGTAGCTCCCAGTTACAATCATTTACTGTTCCTTGCTGACTCAAAACACAAAAAGTCTATTGGACTCACCTCACTCATCTATCTCTGCACAAGATGGCTAGCTCATGGAGGGCAAAGAACACTTTCAGCTCATCTTTTTCCATACCCCTACTACCTTCCAGTGTCCTGCATGTAGCATGTGCTTCCGAGTTACGAAAATGTACAATCCCCCGCACCCCCCTCAGTATTGGGGATTGAACCCAGAGGCACTCTACCACTGAACTATATCCCCAGACATTATTTATATTTTGAGACAGAATCTCACCAAGTTGCCAAGGTTAGCCTCAAACTTGCAATTCTGCCTCAGTCTCCCAAGTCACTGGGATTACAGAGATGGGCCACCACACCCAGTGGGGGGTTGCAAAGTGTAACCCCATTACTATGTTCACACTATCTTTATGGGAAACTGACGCCACAGGCAGACAGGCTGCTGAGCCCAACCAAATGTTTGATCCAGCAGGAATGAAGAACTTTAGAGAAACCCCCGAAGATTCCGGAGAGCCAATGTAAATTCAGTTTCAATGACAGTGGTCCCTGTTTCAGCCTCTTTTGGGCTTGCTCCACTTATCTATCATGGAGCTCTTGTGCCTATCTGACCTGAGGGCATATGCATTTGGAAGTACTTTCCCTCCTGTCTATTGGACTCCCAGATGTCTGAGGACTTCAATGCCCAGACTCAGTAATGCTTTTGGTTTGGTCCAATAGAGGCTCTTGCAGCAGCTGCAGCTTTGGCCTAACCCTCTGAACTAGAAGCCTGGCCTCAACAATTTCTTGATTAACTCAACTTGTGGTTTAACTTTCTTCTGCTCACCTTCTTAGGCTACAAGATCTGCTCTCTTGATCCATTGCCTTCCTATTTCTTTTGTAGACAATACTTGAAAAATGTGGGTGAAATCTCTGGTAGGTTTTTCAATAAAGAGTTGTGCCTCCAGGCTTTAGTGAACATCTGCTCAGCAGAACTTTCAGACTTGTCATTTTGTCTATAGCAGGATTACTCAGAGATGGGTCACTTTCATTATTCTGAATTTAAAAAAAGAACAAGGCAGGAATCATGGCAAAAACAGGTCTAAGAAGCCTTAGCAAAAGAAAAAAAAAAATTCAGAGGCATTTGTATTCCCAAGGGAAAGACGTTGTCCAGATTCTAAATTTAAAAATGTCTACCGTACCATTACTAAAATACTTTAATTCGGAGTCTTAAAAAAAAAGTACTCTCTCTTTGCTCTGAAGACTTTGTAAAGGGACTGACACCATTTTCAGAGTTTTCCAAAAATTTTTAAGTACAGTGGTATATGAGTCCTTGAATGCTACCAAACAGTATACAAAAAATAGATGAAGATGACCCATGTTTAAAACACAGAAGAAATAGAGCCAGACTGTTAAGGAAGGAGAAATGTTGAACATTTAGGAGCCAAAGTCTCCCATCTGTTTAAAGTTCTAATTTTGTAATTAAAAAAAAATTCACTTAACTGCTGTTTGTGAATTAAAATAGTGAAGCCCAAATAAAATACAACTGTGTTCTCAATAATTCCCACCAACTACTTTTTTTGGGATTAAAAAGAATAATAATAATCAACTAATGGCTACAATTTAAAAATGTTCATAAATGAAGAAAAAGCTCAGCTACTAAACAGGAAGATTATATAGTACATCCCCTAAGAAATACATGATATGCTTAAGAACACAAAAATAAACCTTGACTCAACCACAGCTGCCATATTTAGAAAACCTATCATGTCATTTCATGATCAAAATGAAGGATTCAGTAAGGAATAAACTAAGAAAACCTTGAACTTGTCTTTGTGTTATAAAAGGATAATCAACAATAATCACAATTTACATTGTTTGAATCCAAGTTCCTTTCCACTTTCCCACTATGGAAATTCCTAGCTCAGTGGGACAGCTGTGTAGCCATTCATCATAAGCCTTTCATTAGTGAGCCATGTCCTCTGTATCTTGCCATGGCCCAATCTAGACCTCTGGCAGAGGAAGACACTGCTCAAGCCAGATCTTCTGACTCCCAACAAACACTGTCCCCTGTGCAGAGATTCTCAACCCACACTTCATGCCAGAACTATTTCAGTTCCTAAAACTCAGAGGCCTGGCCCTCACTCTAACTTCTGGAAAGCAAAACCCTCAGAGGGATGCAGGCACGTGTATTTTTTTTTTTTTTAATATAAAAGTTCCAGAAGGAACTAACTGGTTTAGAAACTCTTGATATTAACACAAAAATGTTCAGAATAAAGAAAACAAAAACAAAAAACAAAAAACAGAAAAGCAGCAGCCAAAAATCAACCCTCATTATGAATGAAGCAGAATTGTAGTTTTATTCAGTGTTGAAACCAAAACGTCAATAAATAAGAAGTAAAAAGAATAGCAAACAGCAATAGCTTACACAGTGTTTATTTTACACTGGAACGAAGAGCTTCTATACAATAGAAAGCACAGTATGTGCCTGGCCCTAAGGTAGGTGCTAAGAGAAAGAACCAGGTCAGCTGGAGAACAGATAAGTGCAGAGCTGAGAGGTGGGATATCCAGCTTGATGAAGGAGTCTTGGGAGAAGTGAAGCAAAGAAATTTATCTGCATGAAGAAAAAAGGTGGGAGAAAGAGAAAAAAAAAGTGGCATAATGGAAAAAAGGAAGACAAAACTTACAGAGGAGAGCAGCACTTGAATCACAGGCAAGAGGCAGACATGCTTGCAAAACCCACTGCCAGCTGCACCCTGTGGGAGTCTGTACTGGCCCTAGTCTAGACTAGGGGCTATCTCGGGTCAACTTTTGGGGAAGACCCATGAACAGAATTTAAATCCTATTGTCAGGACTTTTCTTCATTTTTAACATTTAAAGTTTGTCCCATAGAATCACATTTTAGCACTAGAGAGCACCCCAGAGAAAAATGATCTGCCTCATCCCCTCATTTGCAAATGAGGGAGGAGGTTTTCTTTCTAGTTTCCATGGTGACAGCCATTCTATAAGGGGGGGGGGGATGTGCCCCTGCCCCCCAACCCCACCCCAGTGTGGAGATTCTATACCTCTAAGGCAGCAGGCACATGCCACACTCCTAAAGTTACTGCTTTTCTGCATGGGTAAAGAAATGACAGGTGGGCCTAGAGAGCAACTTGTCCAGCTTTACTGGAAAATAGTGTGATATTAGAATGAAGAGCCCTCTGTGAAACATTCCAGGTTAGAATTTAAAGAGGCAGATAAGTTTAATGTTTAAGTTTGGTTAGTGATATGCAAATCAGTTGTGTATGCTTATGGTTCTCCTGAGAACAAGCTACCTACTCCAACTTTTATAGCCTCTCAAGAGTAAAATCTGGGCCATTAACCCCCAAATTCATAATGTGTAAGCTGTGTTTTATTTACCACCTCCCCCCTTTTAGGTCACAGCTTGTAGCAAATGTTTACTGTGGGCATTTTAATTCCTTTTCACATAAACATAGAAATTAAAGGTGTGGTCACATATTGGAGCAATCACATTGCTCTAGAACTTTTATAAGTGAGGAAGAGAAGATCATTTTCAGAATCACTCCTTAGGCTATACTGGGTCATTTCCTTTTCCTCAGATCCTCAATAATCTGATATTTTGGGGTTTTCTTAAATTTACTTTTCTTTTATGAAAATGATCATATTGTACTTCATGGAATCTCAGGAAACTAAATTTGATATTTCTTGAAAAATCCCCGCACAATTACCTAGTTTTACTCAAATCTAGTTTAATTTCTTGAAAGGATAGTATTCAAGGTCATTCATATTCCAGTTCATCACTTGATGGGGACAATCTAATTCAGTGTTTACCAAAGAAAAGGATTCTAAAAGGAGAATGGTTTCCACAAAATGAATCTTCTTGGCCTTTCTATTAGTACGATGGTTATACAAGAGAGCAAACAGAAGAGTGCAAAGATGGAGGTCATGGAGCAGGAAGGGAGCGGTGGTGAGGCTATCACATAAGCATGAGGGCACAGGTGCGAGCAGGCGGATGCATGAGCATTTACATGGAAGTCATATCGTTGAGAGCGTGGTCCAGCTCCTCGCTGATGGCCTTGTACTTCAGTTTCTGAGCATACAGCTCGTCTAGGACCAGGAAGTGGAAGGCAGAGGTGCAAGGACATGGAGAGTGATCAAGAGATGGAGGGTGAGCGAGGGTGGCGCAGGCGCCATCCCAACACAGCAGCAAGGAAAGGGCAATGCATGAAGGGGTTGGTGCCGCAGCAGGTGCCAACGCAGGAGGCGTGCGTTTTGTTTTTAAATAAATTGAAACAAAAACAAAGAGAACAAAACCCATTAGAAATTAAAATGAGAAAGACTCGATATGAAAATCATAAATACTGTAGGCACATCAGTAAACCATGCTAAATCCTAAACAAAACTACAGAAGGCTGTCTCTCCTGGTGGGAAATGGAACATCTTTCTTTTTATAGAGCTATATTTTAATTATACCAGAGTAGTCAGCCACCTGTCGCTATAAACAATGGAAAAAATATCCAAAGGCAGTGTTTTGGAAGAACAACTTGCGATTAAAGCCTATAATCCTTATCTAGCTCCACCTTCAAACCACTGACTTCCTGACCAAACTAGACCATGGGATATTAATTTTTTAGTGTCATTTAAACTACTCCTGTGGTCTTCCCTCCAGAGCTGCTTGTACCTTAGTCCAGGAGCCTTGAAAAGCAAAGAAAGCCACACTTTCAATTGTACACCAGCAGACTGTTTGCGACCATATGTCATTCTTTTTCTCCACTATGGTTATTATTATCTGTACCAGCCTCCAGTCCCTTCTCCAACTCCTTCTGCCCACAATAAACATTTTTTTTCTTCACAAGCCTCAGAGTTCAACATTTAGGATTTCTGTGAGATAGAGTCAGTGTCACTCAAATAAAACCTACATGCCTTGGGTGAGAAATGCTTAAGCATAATCTCAAAATATTATGCCCTATTGGTTCCTATCTTCCTTTTAGGATACAGATTATTGTACCAATGAATGACTGACAATACCCAAGCCCTTCCACTGAATTCATACTTGGGAGAAGATGGGTTGTGTCTAAAACCAATGCACATCATTCTGACAATTAGGAGGTCTCACTAAAGAAATAAAATATACCAGAGTCTCTCTGATCTATAAGCATCTCACGATGAAAATTAAACCCACTACCTTCTGAGGAGTGTAAAATGCTGGGGGGCATTTGCCATTTCAAAAAGAGACATGTGCTGCCTGGTGGCTAACCAGTCACCTGAAGAACTAAGGACTCAGGTCCAAGAGTTTAAGAGCCACAGATGAAAATCCCAGAGGAAGTTAGAAAAAAGTGCAGGAGCAAAGAAGTTTATCCAGGTAGATGCACCTGGATTGGACAATTGTATGCCAGGTCAGTATTCAACCATGAGGATTAAATGAAAAACAATATTTAAGATCTTACCTTCTAAGTCATCAATGCTTTTCTCCAATTTAGTTACTGACCTCTCCGCAAACTCAGCTCGAGTCTCAGCCTGTAATGATTTAATTTATCTAAGTCAAAGTTTAAGAAGTTTCACAGTTCTAGTAGCCACAAATACAGGGAAAACTAGAGAATGGACATGAGGCATCTCACCCATGAAATGGATTTAAAACTATCTGTCAGTTTTAGTCACTACTGTGAGCAATGGGAACTAGCATAGTATGTTAATTCCAAGACTACCTCTGAATAACTCTGGCTTGAATCAGTAACTTTAAAAGCAAAAAATTCCTGACCAGCTTCATGGACATAAATGTGATTAAAATCCGGTTGACTTCATCCAAAATTCTCATGTTATTATTACCTCCTTCAGCTTGTCAGAAAGGACCTTGATCTCTTCCTCATATTTGTCTTCCTTCTGAGAGTACTGTAATTAGAAAGAGCATTCCAGATGTCAAGCTGTAGCTGTTTTCATCCCTTCTAACAAAAAGAACTCGCCAGCTCAACCAACAGATGTTAAGGATCTCTGAGGCAGTAACAGAACCTCCAATATCAAATGGCATACTATAATACATTCTCTGCTTTCTAGCCTATTGTTTTACATGGGATAAGAAGAAGATAACTTATCCACCTGGCACTCTGTTTAAATTAAATTGATGACTCACATACTCAACATAAAATATTCTCTATGAAAAAAATTATAAAAATATCCCCTGTATCCAATAACCACTAGAAATCATCTAAAAAATTTGCCATTTATTAAAAGGTCTACTGTGCCAGTGCTTTCATCAGCAGGGCCTCTTTTGAGCAGCTCTTAAAAGATGCCTTCCCCACACCATGCTCCTGGCCTACCTTCTCAGCCTGAGCCTCCAGTGACTTCAAGTTGTTGGTCACAGTTTTCAATTCTTCTTCAAGCTCGGCACATTTGCTAATGTTTTCGATCAGAGGCAGAAAGGGTGGGAGACAAGCCAAAGGAAGGAAGAGAGAAAAAGGAGAGGAATGGGAAAAAATGAAAACCAAGTCCTAGAGATGAAGGACTGCCTTAAAGTAGCCAAACTATCAGGTATGAAAATGCTCAATTTTGCCATGGACATTGCCTCCCAACTTTGCAACAGTGGAAAGGCAGGATCACAAAATTGAGCAACTGAAGTGTGATAATTTGGCTTCTTATTTGGCTGCCTCTAAGAGCATTTATAAAGGGAAAAACAAAGGAGCATAAAGGACCAAGAGAAAGCACTTAAAGCAAGATATAAATAGCAGAGGGTGTAGTGAAGGTGCAGTCGTTACATCAAACCAACCAGTAGGCATTGGAAGCTGAAAGACGCCTGGGTTTCAGTTAAACCTAAAAACCACACATGAGCCATCAGTACCTTATCCTCTGCAGCCATTAATGCTTTCAAGGTCTGATCCATTATTCTTAATTGTTCTTCCAGCTGTCGAACTTGGCTGTTAGTGGACACAGGAAATGCACAAGGCCATTCACAAAATCAGTGTGCAGGTAAGGCATGCAGTGATACACGCATTCATACATAGACACCCCACACGAGTCCTCCGTGTTCCATACTCGTGGCTCATCCACAACAAATGAGCACAAAAGGAGCCCGGAGCTGAAATAGGTAAATGTGCAGCTGCCAGAAGGTCATGCTGTTTAGTCACTGCTCTGCAGCACCCCACACGCTCCTGTTGCTGGGCCCACTTACCCTTCTGAGAGCTCAGCCCGCTCCTCTGCACGTTCCAGGTCACTTTCAATGATGACCAGCTTACGGGCTACCTGCAGCAGGACAAACACAGTACACACACACATTGTGGGGCTTGTGTATTTTGTATAAGGGTTGTTTGGGTGGGAATCAGGCTGCATCAGCCCCTACAGATTCCTGTCTACATATAGGATCCTCCCCATTTGGGGAGACTGAAGAGAAGCAACTTTCCCTCAGGAGTGCTGACAGACAGGAGGCCAGAGTCTTTGCTCACCAAGACCCAGAATGGACAGCTACAATTTTGCAATATCAATCTGAAGTCTGACCCAGGTGAAACTACATAATTACATAGCAGCCAGACCAGAGTGTGGAATGAGAGAGAAATATAAAATCCAGTCTCAAAAAATAACAAACTGCTATTAGTATGCAGACATACTGCTCACCATACTTCTCATTAAGAAACCCATTTAATACTGAAAAAGTAGGGACTGCCAAGAAACCATGAAAATAAACCTAGGAATTCCACCAATACAGAGTTCTGTGCCACAGCCTCCTTTTTGTGGAGGCAATTTAAGAAGGCAAAAGAAATTAACATGAGATGAGGTGGTGAGATGACTAACAAGGTCAAATCTGTATTCAGTGGAAGAAAGAACCTGAGAGAAGGGATCCTCTGAAGCAATTCAAAATTAGCAAGCACAGTATAATCTGGAGAAAGGTCAGTGCTGTTTCAGGCAGTCATGATGTGATACAATGAGGAAAAAACTAAAACTTTGACAGTCATGTTGACTCTGTCATGGTAATATGACCAGGAGCTGATTCTCCTGAGAACCTGTGCTAACAGAGGATTTCCAAGACCTGGGAGGAGAGGCCTTCATGAATCTATTAAGTAGATGCTACTCAGTTGCCTGAACTGGACTGCTAGGTGGATCACACTGAAAGAAATACTTGCATAAGGACAGCCTGAGCATCCTTTCCCAAGGGTTCACCTTTCCCATTTCCTGGCCAAAGACCTTTTATCCTGGTCATTAGGGAAGGGAGTTTTAATTCTTCTTCCCAGTGCCATTGACTAGCTTCCTGATAAAGGCTGGGATCCCCTAGCTGGATCAAAATAAGAACCATTTTCTGGAGTCAAAGAAATTTGCTTCTCAAAACTATCCATTTCTACCAAGGAAGCAGACTGCTTCCCTCAGGAATCAAGGCTATGTATGCTCCCTGAACCCCAGAAGACCACTGCTAGGAATCAATGAGGCTTTGGGCGCTAGGATCTGACCTCTTCATATTTTCGGTCGGCATCTTCAGCAATGTGCTTGGCCTCTTTCAGTTGGATCTCCTGAATTTCCATTTTTTCTTCATCCTTTTGGGCTCTACTTTCAATGACTTTCATACCTCTGGAAAGAAAGACAAGTACAAAACCCAAGATTTAGAGTTGACCTTCCTAGACTCAAATTTCTTTGACCTTCCTAGAATCATACTGTCCTGCTGTGGTCTGAGAGGTTTAGATCAAAATAGAGCACAGATCTACTTTTTATTTTTTTTCCCCCAAAACCATGAAGCAAGACCTTCTAGTGCTAAAGGCAGAAAAAAAGACACATTTCTCTCTGCTCATTGTGCTTATACTTTGGGTACTGCAGAACCTGTCCAGGCACTTTGTGTTAAATCAAAGGAATAATATTAGGGTCCCATTTGAATCTGGAAGGCATGGAAACAAGAAAAGCCAAGATTCTTTATTTGTTAAATAAATAAAGGAATTTCTTTCCTTTCCTGAGGGAAGTCTGTTTGAAAATGAACAAAAGCTACAATCAAAGCAAATTTATTTTTGTGTACCTCTTTCTACAAAAAAAGGGTCTTAACCCATCAACCACAAACAAAAACAGTAGACTAGCCCATAAGAAACTGCTGATGTTTGAGCATTTTGGACTTATAAAAGTAGCAGTTTTAGTAGAGTCAACTGAATTCTTTAGATAAGAAACCAAGTTTTACTTCTAATGGAACCCTCTCTAAATAGGGAGGTTGGGAGGGATTGATACTGGCTTCTACATCGATGTATATATTAGGGTCCTATGGCATGGTGTTACATTTCAGAAAATGTTAACTGATCTATGATATATTAAAGATTTATGGAATAATGAGTCATGTTAAAATGGGACTCATTTACAAAATTTAAGTAGGCAATAAATAAACCACTATTTTTTGATCTAGTACTAGAATATACTTGAGGAGACCCAAGGTCCAGCTTTGGCTTAGACGCAAATATGCTATCAGCCTTTGGGCAGTGACAGTCTCTGAGCCTTAGTTTTCTTATTTTTCCTCCAGGGGATTGGAGTAAATGATCTCTAAGTTCCTTTTACTCCACAGTCTAACATTATTAGACCATATTTACAGTTCACTAACAGGTATATTTCAGGAGGAAGTTAGCTACAACATTACTGTTATATATACACTGTAAGAGATAATTAGTCATCATGAAGAATTTCAAAACTCTTGGCCAGTGAAAAAACACTAAGTAGTAGTGAATAATGAGGTGACAACTGAAGTTAAAAACCTTCTTGAACCCTAAAGTCTGAAATCACTTTTATACATGGTAGCAGGGAGCAGAGGCTTGCTGTAAAGATGCAGAAATGGACAAATGACTGACTACATTCTCCTGCCCAGGTTACAACACAGGCAGTCACACCTGTAGTGTTCTAACATATCATCCCTCAAGCAGAACTCTCTTACCTCATTGAGTCTTTCCTGAAGTTCTTCTTTGCAATGTGGCAAATACATTAACTTGAACAGTTGAGCACAGAAGAAAAAACCTTCTGGGATGCATGAGGTTAGTTGTGTTGCTGTATATGAACCATGGTTTCCCTTTCCTACCACAGGTGGCATCTTACAGTAATAAGCCAGGTAGAGTCATGTTACAATGGAGGTGGGCTCAGAGCACACAAGTTCCTGATTATATTTGTTTGTTTGGCAGTGTCTTGTCTGCAATTAATCCTAGTCCAAAACAATTTACTTCTGCAGATCACATTTCTGTTTTATCTGGGCTTTTTTCTTCCACCTATTTGACAACTAAGAGCCCACAGTTTCTGACCCAGTCCCAAGACTCCTTGGTGTATTTTAAAATAAAGTAGTTATTATTATTTTTTTTAAATGCACAATTGCTCTGTGGTCAGTTGGAATGAAAGAACCAGTGCATATCCCTGGAACTTTTCATTTCCAAGTCTGTCTCCCTTGTTGGGTGGTGCTCTGTGAGGACCAGAACAGTATCTGTTTCTTCTCTATAACTCTAGAGCTTAGAATAGTGCTTTGCACACATTCAGTATTCCATTTATTTTATTATTATTATTGTTTTTGGTGGTGCTGGGAATTGAACCCAGGGCCTTCTGCATGCTGGACAAGACCTCTACCATTGAGCTCCAGCTCTAGCCCTTTTCTACTTATTTTAAAGAAACAAAATCAAACTACACATGTGATCAACTGAAGAGATGACTCCACTGAGGGCTGTAAAATTGTTAAACCTCAAAGATCAGAGGAGCTTCCTGTTCATCCTGCCAGGAGGAAAGGCTTGTGCTAAAATGGCTGGATGAGACGTTCTCACCTCTCGCTTTCATCTGCTGCTTTTTCAGCCTCCTCCAGCTTCTGCAAAGCTGTTGCCAGACGCTCCTGAGCACGATCCAACTCTTCCTCAACCAGCTGGATGCGTCTGTTCAGAGAAGCTACATCAGCTTCAGCCTAGGCAGAGAGAGTGGAAGGCCTTTCAGAGCTGGAGAGAAAGTGAAGGTGGCACTTACAGAAAGTGGCTGATTTTAGACAGGACGTGTGGTCCTAGTGGTCAATTAAAAGTGCATTACAAGCCCTCATCAACTCTGGAGTTCTCAGAAATGTACACATGTTGAATTACAAAGTGAGCATCCATATTTACACACAATTTTTATCAAATAAAATGTTCCATTAGCAAAGACTCACATGGCCCATTTCTTACCCTAGCATTACTTGTCCATTGAAGGAGAGTTTTATCACAGCCACCTCATTCACTAGGGGCCTGAGGTGTAGATAAAGACAACAAGACTTACCCAGAGATTCAGCCACTTAAGACAACAGCAGTACCACAGAAATTGGAACCAGCAGTTTCATTAAATTCTCTTTTTTTCTGAAACCACTTTCTCAAAGAAGCCTTACAAAGGAACTAAATACTCAAAAATCCAGTAGTTTAAAAATACATACCACATGGAGACCTAACACAATTTTAGAAAGCTTCCTCCTCTCACCCCCGCCTTTTCAGGAACTCCTTCAAAGTAAGTGGTCACACCAGAACGAGGCCAAGACAAATCTCCCAAGAGTTTTTGTCCTAAGCCTACTGGATATTCTTACAATTCAAGATTGCTACAAAAAAGGTTTCAAACTCTTATGGAGAAAAGGAATACAGATAATGTTTTTACTTGGAATCTATGCTTCTTTTTGGGTACTGGGGACTGAACTCTGGGGCACTCGACCACTGAGCCACATCCCCAGCCCTATTTTGTATTTTATTTAGAGACAAGGTCTCACTGAGTTGCTTAGCTTCTCACTTATTTGCTGAGGCTGGCTTTGAACTCTCGATCCTCCGGCCTCAGCCTCCGGAGCCGCTGGGATTATAGGCATGTGCCACCTGCCCAGCTGAAATCTATATTTTAAATAAAAATTTCCTTCCTGGATACAGAGACTACCTCCTGTCATACACATTTGTTACTATATTTGAGAATACTAGAAATGTTGTAAAGGTGGCCATTCAAATTTTCACTGCATGGAAGTGAAGATGGAACTTACTAATTAGGTACTATTTATTCATCTTTATCCACTTTGAATATACATCTATCAAGGGGTGATGGGTTTTCAGGACATGTAGATTTCTAAATATTACAATATACACCTCAGGACCCACAGTAGTTCTTTATATACATCTCTGTCTTTATTGAACTATAAGCTACTCATATTTTATTTATATATATAAATACACATGCGCACACGCACACACACACATATATGTAAATACGCAATTCTCTGCAGAGTATAGACTCAACAAATGTCTACTCAATCAAATACGTAAAACCACTCTAATTTAAACAATAGCAATTTTCTTAGCTCATGGCCCCATGACAGAGTTTGAAATGCACATGTAGTTAGAGAGAGGTTGTGGTCATGGCCTTGAGTCAAAGGAATATGAAAGAACATTCAGCTTTTTGCTCATTTAGATTTGTAAGATTTTAAATGCCAAGTTTTATCTGGGAAGAGAGGTGAAAAAGGCACTTCCAACCATAAACACATTTAAATATACTTTTATCTCAACAAAAAACTATATGGTAATTGACAGATGGAGGCAGGGAGCAGAGCAAATGTGAAATGAATCCTAAAAGGAACATTTACAACTGAACTGGCTCATAAAGTCAATCCTTATCATTGTTCAACTAGCAACTAGGTACAGCTAGGAATGACTGGCAGGTAACCCTTGATTTCTGCTTGTTTTTGAAGGGTGAGGGCAATAAGGTAGGGAATTTTCAAAGTACAGGGAACTGCCTTTTAAAGTCATAGTCCTTTTTTTTTTTTTTAATTGTAAGAATGTATATACATTAAAGGTGCAATTTTGGGCCAAGTTAAATTTCTTCACTGTTTTATATTTTCCTTTTCCAATAAAATTCTATTCCTTTTATGACTAGAGGTGGGGAACAGGGACAAGCAGTCAATCCTGAATGTTGAAATAATAAGGGTAAATATCCCCATTACAGATGCTGTGGCTTATCAGATAAATGGCAACAAGATTTTCAAAAACATTTTTGTAGACACCAAAGTCTGAGTTTCCTGATCTGCTTTAGATCTGGGTCCAAACCTTGAGGACTTGGTGCTCACAAAAAGGTGACTGTTTATTCTTTGGGGAAAGAACCTTCTGGGTGACTACTGGGTCTATGGCCCCAGCTCCTCACACAGTTGAAGTCCCAGAGAGGAAGGAGCGGGCACCCTGAGTTCATGCTTGCCTCTGGTATGCAAGACTACCCCACATGAAAGGCTCACCTCAATCAATCTCTACTTCCTACCGCCCCCACCAGCTCTATCCTTTCTTTTCCTTAGCCCTTGACTCTGTTTAGAAGAATATTATTTTGAAAATATCACTTACACTTCTGCCCCAGGAGCATTTTGTAGAACCCTGATTCTCTGACAGTAGGGTATGTCCTCCAAAACTAGTCTTCAGGGACTTACATAGGGTGTCCACACAATGGCATGGAATGGAGACCTGTCTGTAGAAGCCAGTTTGACACAAAGATGGGACTGGTGCACACACAGAGAACCTACCTATGGACAGCTGGCTCTTCCTTAGAAACTGATATAAGTAAACAAAATGGGGATCTCATTTTTTTTTTTCTTTAGCTGGAAGAATCCATGAGCATCATCTAGCTCCCACAACTGGCTAGGTGCCAGAATCAACTAGAAAATGTGTATTAAAAATATAAACTTCCAGAGAGTTTCCCATCCCTTCCCCATCCCTAGAGATTCTGATTTAGGAGATCAGAGGGGCAGGGCAGGAATTTGCACTGTAAATAGGCAATCCCCTCCACTCCTCCAGCACCACCCCAAGAAGCTGTCAAATTCAGTGGATCAAATAGGACTATTCATCTACCTCTCAGCTTAAAAGAAGAGAGGGACCTCTGACCTAGAGTGCTGAAGCAAGCTCCTATATAGCCCTCAGTGGAAGACAGGACTAAACTCTCTATAATACTGATCCAACAAATTTTGTACAGTTCCTTGGAATTCAGGAAAAGTTTAATTTCATAATTTAATCAAGGTACTTTCTTTCTTTTTACTTTTCCTCCCCTTATTTACTATGCTTTGTGTTCAAAGGCTTATTCTCTCATTTCTGGTATTTTTTTTCCCCTGAATTTTGAGTCTCCTCTAGATATTTTCTCAGGTTCTTTTTATCATAGCCTGGGTAGTTTTAAGGATCTGCTGCTACCTGTTAATACTATTTCACAGACATGATCATTTGCTATTTAAAAGCAGTCAAATAACAAGGCACTGGGGAGGGTCAAAACCCTAGATACAATTTTTTTCCCCAAGGCATGTAAGTTACCCTTAGAGTACTGAGTTAGCTTTCTTCCAACAAGGGCCTATGTGTCCACACTGCAAGTGACGACTTTCAGTTTGGGTTGCTAGTTTCTTTTATTTCAAAAGTGCTATTGTGTCCCAACATGTGATAAACTTCTCAGAAACAGATTGCTGCATTAGTAAGGCTACCAATGTCTTCTTGCAGATCTATTGTTTAACTACCACCTAGCACTCTGAACTTGTGAGGTCCTTAGGGTTGCACATGCCCCTCACCCCAGCAGGTACTAACTACCTATACAGAAGTCAAGCGCCTGCTCACTATTCCCACTCTTCTGTGTCCACCTACACAGAAAACAAAGGCACACATACCGTTATCCCACCTCAACAAAGTACAGAAATCAGTGCATGCCCACCCAATATAGCAAAATGTTATTCCAAATAGGATTTGAAAAAATCAAAAAAATAAAATATCTTTATAAGGCCTGGGATTTTGAAGAGATCCAGATGTTTTCGTCAATACAAAACCAACAATTTAAAATTGCAATGATTTTTACTTTAAAAACAATGCCCCAGTTAGGGCTAGTCACAAGAAATAGAGGTAGGAGAATAATATTGTATCCTTAAAATCAATCCTCTGGAATATATTTTCAAAGTCCTGCCTGAACCAGAGTGGAGCATGGGATGACCAAAGTTCATATCTTTTTATTCATGTCAACTGTAGTTATACAGAGGTTTCTCCCAACTTGCTGTGTAAGATCAAGTGACTACAGCCAAGTTAAACTTCTGCCCTTATATGGTAAGGAAAAGGGGGAGGGAGACCCAAAACACTGATGACATTAGTGGCCACTCCCATGGATAGCAGATAAACACAACCTCTTCTATTTGTGCCAAAGCCTGTAATTTATGAGGCATATTTGTATAATGAGGGAAAACAGACTTGAACAAGGCATTGTGGTGCCTCTGCTGTGCACCACAGAGAGTGGAAATGGAGGGTACTGTATACATTCCAATTACAGCCACTCTGGGAGTGCCAATGCAAGCACAAAAAGCACGCTCAGTTTCCTGGTCCCAGAACTATTTACCAACTCTTCAGAGGGAAAGGGCCCGGCATTTTTGAAAACTGGTTATTTCCCATGACTTAATAAAGTTACCAACTAAGAACTTACTGGCTGCAACTATAAGCCTCCTCATTTGCTGGGTACTATCCAGAAAGGAGGAAAATCTTTTTCTTGTTATCTTTTTTTAAAAAATAATAATAACAAACAAAACCCTTGTAGATCACAAGACCTACAGTCAACCATTACATCAAGCAAAGTAGCCTCATTCCAACATTTTGAAGGGCCCACACACCTTGGAAAAACAAACTAGGAGGAAATAAGGGATGGCTGCTTTTTCCAAGGTAAGTGTTGGTTTAGTAGGGCCAATTAATGAGAGCCTGTCTGAACCTCTGAGTATCTGAACTTCAGCCAACTCTCCAGTCAAATATTTTTTGCAGTGGTTCATGATTTTGTCGCTAAAACTTTATCTTTGCTGCCAAGAGAAACTCTTGCTGCTAGCTTGATTCATGGATACCTAAATTAGCTACACTGAAGTTCTAGTTTTAGAAGTTAGGAACAACTCTCTATCGGAAATTCTCCAACTGTTAGGAACAATCCTCAACCAGTGTTTAAGTTACTGTTTTATAAGGTGTTGTGTCTACTCATCCAGATAGACTGTTTTTTGAAAAAAAGTCTTAAAAATCTTTCAAAACAATTTATGCCACTTTTGACATAAAGTCTTAAAAAGAAAGCCTTGTCCTCGGTCAACTAGCAAAGGAGGAATGCTGCTATAAAAATGATGCATAAAACAGAAGGTGAATATAAAAATCATAACATAGCCTTCATAAGA